CTCTTTCATCATTATTCTGTTCATTGCTGGCTATGTTTCTCAGACAGTTGAAATAAATGTTTTCTTATTCAGAGCGAATGAGTTTGTCGATTGTGTGGGTCGCGTGCGTCTTCTTTCATGGATTCTACTCGGTTCCCTGTCCTGTACTGGCATGACGCCCTGTTTGCCGATTCCCATTGACAGTTCCCAGAGGATATCAGATTTGATTCAGTTCGTATTCACTGGTTTTGCAGAACTTTCGAAAGTATGCTGTTTGTTTCTTCATGTAATACCATATAAATTCTATATTATTGTTTTTATTGTAATTGACTGTGATATTTCCATTGGAGTTTCGTTCACCTCATATTATATGAATGCACCAATGGCTGTTTCCTTCTGGTTATTGTTGCTTTGTAATCATCATCTGCGGTTAACAGAGTCTGAACAATGGAATAACCCGGATATCTGATCATTGAAAGTGGTGCTTCAGATTGATTATAGGCGACGTTCAATGTTGCGACAAAGGTCATGCTTTGCAGCATGAGCAGATCTCTGTCTTAACGATTTGTATTGTATTTTATCGTCCTCCAACAACATTCCCAAGAACGAAAGGCTTCGAATGCACAGTAATTTAAAATGTATATCTCCATTTTCTTTCAGACGGCTTTACGCCAGAGCGTCTAAGCAGGGTTATGGTTGATTATTGTTCTTATTCCTCTCGTTTCTCATTTGCGTACTGTTTTACTTCCTTCTCCGTAGTCTACGTCACGTTTCTTCTTCTCTCTTTTTCATGTTTCTTGTATTCATCCTCTGCTTTTATCCGTTCTCCTTCACCCTATCGGTCCCAGCTTCCTCATCCTTCTCTAACCGTTTTTTCCCGATGTATTCATTTCTCTCCTGCCGTTATTCACCTTCTAATGAACATCATTGTACTAGGAGTCAGTTTTGAACATGTCTGCGCTCTTTCACGCTTTTCACCTGTGCCAGTTGTGGACCGTCTATTGTGAAGAAGCGTTCATTAACAGTTCCAATGAAACCGTGAAGCATGAAGCAGTGGCGAATGTCATGGATTTCTGGTCTCGAATCACGCCGGCCATCTTACAATTGCTTTCGCACTCAAAAATGGTTAGTGATATTTGTTGTACTTTGATTTACTGTGCATTTTTGTTTTGAAATTGTCTTGCTTTTGTATGCTTATCTGGTCACATAATATGTCAGTCGGATCCAGGTAAACCAGCATAGCATGGTGATGGCTATCTCCTTGTAATCTGTGATCATGTACGAGGGATTATCGATCAATATAACCTTAATTTTTCACTTGATACTGTACTGCTTCTTGAACACTGTACTGGTCGATTGCTATCAGACCGATAAGTTGCAGTCCGTTGTTTACGCTAGAGTACATTTGCTTACTTATTAGAGTTTTCCGGGTCCGTCTAGCAACCATTGGCTTCCTAGTTTGTACTGATATACGAGTTGTAGCTGAGTACGGAATGACAGAACTAGCAGTTGATAGTACTACGCTACTTGTGGAGGACTGAAGTAATATATCTATGTACATATTACTTGGATCACCTCTGAATGTGCAAATGGTGATAAACGAAGTGAACTTGAAAGGTATGGTGTATATCCTATCTTTCAACTTCACTTTCATTTTTAGTCCAAGTGGAAGCTTACATCTGTGTATTAGCAACTGTGGTGAAATGGTTGCAACCTCTGCCTGAGGAACCGCTTATGCATAATGTACTGGTACTGTTCACAGACGTAAATCACGTAATTGTGCCCTTACCCATATGTAAGCGATCCTCGCGGTCGTTCGGAATGAAAGTAGTTGCAGACATTTTCCATGCATCGTGCTGTAACAAGGAACAAGTTGCCTCCTTGATGCCACCACGAATCTCGCTGAATGTGCGTCGATTTGTCTTCACTGGACCGAAATTTGAAACTTCACCTTCAGATACTTGTCATCATTACATGATTGATTCCTCAGATGGAAGATGGCAGTTTTTGGTGGTCTGTTTTACCTACGCGATAAAGTTCTACGAATGTTGCCATTACGGAGACAAGACACTGCGTATTTCTGCGTATTTCTCTATAAGATTTTTTTAATGCTGGAGGAAATCAAACCCTAGTGTGCCTTGTTCTTATTTCCATAGTGCAAGTACTGCCATCTGTGTCTGTGCTGAACTGCAAATCGCTTCGTGTCTTTTTGGAATATCGGTTGATCTCTTAATGCGTGCATTAGGTGGAACCCTCTTGAGTTGATTATACAAAAATTCCGTCCTCGCGTGAGATTTGTCTGCCGTATTCAAAGTCTCAAACTATGTGTATTTTAAACTCTCACTTACTGTCTGAAAATTTCAGCTGGCAGACATGGTTAATTTGCACTTTCTGAACACCGTCGAGGGACTGCTGGAGTGCGATTCCATTGTTCTGGCCAAAGTACAAGAAGCCAACCTTATGTGTTTTTGTGATTGCTGTTTACGTGTAACTTTTTAGTTGTTTCCCATGTGGCACCCAATACTCGTGTCTTATCACTCCAGCATTCCTAGTCATCTGCTGATTCGACTTGACTTCTGCGAAAACTACTTGCCGACTGACTCGAAACGGCGGTTAGTACCCTGGCTGAAGCATATCGGTTTCAAAATCAGTCAAGTTGAATTTCAGTCCTCGGCTGCCACCCAGTTTTATTCCGTGTAAATGTTATTCAGTGATTATGCTAATTTTAATGATTTATTTCTGTCTTGTTTATTTAATCATATATGAATATTACTGCTGTGCAGTTTGTCGTTGGCTGAACGTGAATAAATTTAAAGTGACTTGCTTCACTTTATTTGTCTTTTTTCTTAGTGTACTACCATTGAGAATTGATTATTTTCCTAAAATGAATGTCAAAAAGGTTTTCTTGTTTTGGGTTCGAAAAGAACCAATCTGCTGAACCAGTTTAAGAAATCTTCTGCTGCCACGCACCTATCTTCGTCGATCGTTTCGATGAAAAGCACGAGTACAACGTTTTGGGATAGTTCTTGCTTGTTCAAGTTGCTAGCAGAGTCTGCACTCTGTGCCAGCCTTTGAAATATTATTGCTGACGAATGGAGCATCACGAAGCGATGGCCTGCGCAACGCCTCCATGGTATGCAGGATCCGCATGAGCATGTCACACTGCAGTGTGACCCAGTGTAACGGAATTATTCTCATTGCATGATTATTGGCCAGAGAAGAATCCAAGAGCTAAATGACACTGACATGAAAATATTGACTGAAAATGAACCTGACGAAGGTGGTGTTAAACTGGTAGGTAAAAGCAGTTGAAATGAACGGAGTTAGGCTTGAAGAAGTGCTGAACTACATCTCTCTGGGTTAGCTCATCTCTGCAGCTGTGATCTGACAATGTGAGATCAATGGAAAAATTAAAATGGCATGGTGCACTTTTGGAAAACTAAAAATTTTCCTGTTCGCGAAACAGCCCTTGTTGTTGAAACAAAGTTTTCAATCAATGAGTACCTACGGAGACATTCTGAAAGCTATTTGTTGATTACAGATGATGCATCATTGAAAGATGTGTATTTTCAATATCAAGAAAAGATAGGAAATAACTCGCACAAACGGTTTCATAATCTGAATGAAAAATTCAAAATGGCAGTGAGCAGAAAACAGGCGTACTCTAGAACAGAAACATAATTGGGTTCCATGAACGGCCATAGGAAGACCTCAAGGCCAGTATCAGGAGGAGCGGAAGAAATGCACCGCAGCGAGGTACACGACAAAGTCTTGAAGGCCTTCATCCAATGGTGGATTGACAAAATTCGGTCATGTATATCTCGTTCATGTGGTATTTCCACGGGCAATATTCAAATTAGAACGGAATTCTATTGCATCAGGGTGTTCTTGATTTGTCGATATTTGTTAGATCACTACTAGGACGTTTGTACGTTTAGACATTAATTATCATAGAACACGAAGTGATCCCGCTATTCTAATTATACGCCCTCGAACTCGTACTATCAAAACTGCACCAGTTTTACTTCGTGTGCTGCTTCGCGAGGTCGAATTACAGTATGCAAAGAAATTTTGCCTGCGTTTCTTATATAATATCCCCTGAAGATCGATCCAGCTGTCAAAAACAACGGGATTACATTCAATAAGGTATATATCATATATTTATATGTAGAACAGACCGCCTACATTTCTTTGATATCACTGATGTTAATATTTTTTTCTGAGGTATGTTTCTGTGCTACTGGAAAACTATTGGCTAACAGATTAGAAGTTCATCGCCGCACCTGCTCTTGCATATTTCGAAATAGGATTCATGAAAAATTAATATATCGTAACTCTGTGCATGTATCTGGTATTTCTATTATTCATAGCTCACTTAGTTAAAACTAAATTTACATAGTACGCGTTGCGTCTCGTGTTATCGTGTGTACTCCTGCGATAGTATATGTAAAATATTGCACGACAGCATGAACTAGTGTTGTTTGGAAATCCCAAAATTGAAGCTAAAAATTTGTTCTGTTTAGGTGTAGTTTTCGTTTGTCTGATGTTTGGCCATATTAATTACTATATATGTTGTGCATTAATGACATGTCTGACAACAGTGACGACGTAATATTCCTAACTTATTGTGTTAAAAAGTAGTTACATGTTAAACTGAAAATTAATCAGTCGGGATAAAATTCGATTTCCAGTTCTAGGGAAATGAAGATATATTCTTCTATTTTTCGTGTCTGTATATTTATTTAATCGACAGTTTATATGCTTTGTAAATTGTGAAGTAATCAGGTTCACCGATTGGAAATTTTTATTCTCTGCAGCGGTCAATCTCAAATTATTCTGGTTTTACTGTACACGAAGTAGAGCAGCTTTACTGTGGTCAGTAATTGGACTAGTTTAGTTGTTTGTACGTTCACCTTTAAGTAGTTTGGCAACAACGAATTAATGCTGCAGGTAATACTGATTATCACAAACGAATTGATACAACATGTGCTACGTCTAACTGCAATTCAGAAGAATTATCTTGAGTTTCAGGTAACTGGAATTTAATCAGAGCCTTAAATCTGATGCAATTGGTACCTGTAAAGAAAGAATTAGAGCCCTTGGTGGTGTTGTCAGTATCTACTGAATGGTATTGACGGGACGAATCTTATAGGAATTGGCTCGCAAATGTCTGCTCTGATCGCTGCAGTTGTAGTAATTACTTACTTGCTTTTGGGTAATTACTGTAGTTGAACAACCAAAGACGAAACCAGCATTGACATTACTTAATCCTCGGATTCGAAATAGTACGATTTTGACACGAATATTATTTATGAAGTAATATTTAAAATGGATGTTTTTATACATTTCAACCCTCCACTGGCCAAGTTTACAAGACGAAACGGGCCTACTGCTGAAGATTCTGAAAATTATTTAAAAATATCCTGCTAATTTTACAAAGTAGATGGTGGCATTTGGGATGAGGATTGAGAGTAGGCATCAAATCAGTCGGGCATCGGCTGCTTCCGGAACCTAAAGAAAACTAGTATATTCTTGTTCAGTGCATGTCACTTCGAGGCACCGTACTAAGAGACCGAATGGAGTTTCGACTTCCCTTACTTCGCGATGGCTCGTCAGCAGCTGGTGGCGCCAACACGGCGAGGTTATACAGCAACTCACAACCAAGTTCTGGAAGGTCGGCATCATTCCATCGCTGACTTTCCATCCATTCCAATATCCTTCAGTTCGTTGGTGCTTGAAGAAGTCACGGTAGAGACCTGATCGATCCTTACCTCATAATAGTTTTCTTTTGCGTTTTCGAGCTCTTCCAAAACGCTGGACACGTTACATTAATTAGGATGCTAGTTAGAGCCGGCAGAAATTTCTGGTCCGTTCCCTTCAAAGTGCTTGTGATCGACTTAATCACTGAAGAACGGCAAAATGGCCAAAATCTTTCTGGCTTTAATTGACTTTCAGTTCTTACCTTCTTGCCTAAAGTCATCTTCACATACCCATTCAAAACGACTGCAGTTTACCATGAGGTCCAGTATTTGTTGGTAACAAGAGTCATCACCGTTCGCTATGAGGTTCGACGCGGCTGTTAAAGCAAAGCTTATCAGCGTTAGTAGTGATCACTTTATGTACAGTAAACACGTTATCAATGAAAATTCTGACAACAACACGGCATATATATTGCGAGATTTATATCAACCACATAATGAAGAGATGACAATGACCACGAAGCTGACAGTAATGAACAGATGACGCTGGCTATTGTCAAAGTTATGATGCTAATGATTATCACGAGTACGAGGTTGATATTACTGCTATTTTCTCTGAGGACGATTTGGACTTGATTACCATAATCGTGACAACTAGAGTAATGAAGAAAGGAAAGTAAACGCTGGTAGTGATGATAATGATCGTGACGATAATGACTGTAATCAAGGCTATGGCAATGTCGAAGGTGATGTCGTTATATGATGACATTGGTGATAATTCTATGATTACGACAACTTTATGCTATTGATTATGATAGCGATGGCGATCATAATGACTGTAATGAAAAGAAAGAATATGATAATAGTAACGATTAAGATAACTGTTGTCATTATGAAGAACATTATTCTGGTATCGATCACGAGAATTATGATTATAACCATCTCCTTGTGTGCACTGCAGAAAAACGTATGCTTATGTGAAGATAACCAACAAA